AAAATTTTGACTTATTTTTCGTCAAAAAACTACATATTTTGCTTCATGTGGCTCCTGGTTTTTCACTGCCGCTCTCTTAGTTTATTGGATTTCGACAACTCGAGCGAAGTTATAGCTGATATTTTAATTTGAATTTTAGTCGGTATGTGTTTATGTAAGATGTAAGGAAATAAAAAAGGAAATGTGGATAAGTTAAAATTAAAAACTGAATGGGAATGTTTCGGTCCATTAAGTCGCATACACATTCCTATTCAGTGCTGCAACTGGACCTCGTCAGTGTGACGGTTGCAGCGGAAGTAGCATGCAATGTGATAGTTAGTTTAACAATGGCCACCCTGGCTTCGTCTTCCCTGTTTTCCCCATCTCTTTTCTCTTTCAGTGAAGAATGCTGGGGGGAACCACAGGCTTTTTGCCCATTTAGTAGTAATATTTTTAATTTTTTTCAACAATCCTCATCGTCACCAGATACCATCTCCCGAACAGATTACCAGTTCTACAGTTCTCACGGCAGAGCATTTGGCAAAGCTATGGCAGTTCTGAGATGTCCTTGGTGGACGCTGAGCATCACCATTTCCCTACGAACGCTGTCAGTTCTCGACCGCAATGGATGCCCTCGGAAAGATTACTTGTCACATTTCCAGCTATCATTAGCCCACGGAGTGATCAAGAAGAAGAGGCAAAGGCGGAAGTCTCATTTTCAGAAAACGAATGATAGATTTGGCTTCCCAAAAATCGTAGTTCCATTTGCATTCATTCTTGACAGGTTGCTTATTGAAGTGTTAATTGCGTGGTGGTAAAAATTAATCAATTAATCACTGTTTCCAACCAGTCTTTCGCAAAAAATTTCAAAAATGTCCATTCCTTTTATTGCAATTGTGCCCATTCTCGCATACAAAAATTTTTACATTCTAAGCTTTTTGCTTCCATTACAGGATCGCCGAAAACCCCCCAAAAAAAAAATTGGCAAAAGAAGCCTCCACGAAGCGGAAGATGTATACTACCAACGTGTAGCAGCCAAGAAAAGAAATGTGTATTCTGCCTTGAAATGCAGATGTACAGCAGATTTGTCTTGGCGGATTATGTTCCGCAAAGCAGATACACAGTAAATGTGCTACCAGGCTAACCGTGATGTACAAAGACCAGTGGAGTAGTGGGGTAGCGCGTTGCGCCTGGATTTGAAGAGGAGTGGTTCGACTCCCTCTCGGGCCAAAACCATTTTTGCCAGGGGTTCCATTCACCACACATGGTAGATAAAAAATACGGTTAATGATCGGAATTTTTTGCTAACCATTTCGTTTTTTTCCTTCTTTTCATCCTTTCCATCTTTCTTTTTTTCAGCAGCAGCATCCTCGGGTGCCCTCTTCTCGACCACTGTGTCTCCCTTCTGTTCCACCATATCGCAGCTGTTTTTCTCTAAAACTCGATGAACTATCCAGTGGATACGACAATCAGAGGAAACAGTACAATCGTCGGTGAGAACATTCTCGAAACAACGATCAAAAATCATGATTTTCATAGGGACTGATTATATATTCTGGCAAAAGGAGGGGGAATTCAACAAAGATAAAATCAAATTGGAAATGAAGTTAAAAATGCAATAATTCCTAGATGAGCTGTTGATTCATAGATCGACTCATCACTTCTGAAACAAGCAACCATGCCAGTTGCTTTGACCAATGCTGCATCATCTGGTGGTCAGCTAGCTGACGACCCTAACTTTACCCTATGCACTGAAGACATCATTGATTTATTAAGTTCTCTCGAAAAAAGTATTTGGCAAGGCTTTAGATGTTTTAAGTTTTCCCTGTATGTGCTGATCATCACCAATATTTCCAGAACGTAGCCATTCCTGGGTTACGATGAAATCAGGGCGAAAATGAGTTAAGCTATAATGCTGCAAAAGGAAGGAGCGAGTAATAAGGAAGCGAAGTTGGAGGTTCAACCCCTTCGCCTTGTCCAGTTGCCCTTCGGTTTCCTGTAATATGCAAATGTCCCGTCTCCTGGCTCGAGTTCTCCCCTCTGTAATATTTAATGTGATGACTGAAAATGAAACTGTCAGAGTAATTGTTGGTTTCGCTGAAATTTGGGGATGTGCGGTGGCAGCTTGGAGCTTTTGCCGGGCGATTTCTGGGGTTCGTTTACTCTTTTTGATTTCTTTAACACTGCACTAATAAAGAAGTGCTACTTGGTGTTGCACTTCCCCGCAACCAGGCAGGCTCCCCAGCGCCAGCTCCTCCTCCTCCCGAACGTTACAATAACTCAAAATTAAAATTTCCTCTTTTCTCAACACTCATCTTCAGTAGGCCGACTGTAGCAACTAGGTTGACCCTGGAAGTCTAAATGGCAAAAGCGCAATATAATACACCTTGACAGAATAGAATGAGAGAAAAAGGTAGGAGTGGGCTAAGAAGTTTCGGCCCAATAAGTCATATACGCCTTAACTCAACACTGCGCGACAGGACCTCGTCAGTATGACGGTTGCAGTGCTTAATGGAAAAGAAATGAGAAAAATGACAGAAAGAAGCAGAAAAAATCCCCTTCTTTCCTACTCCGAGAATGCTTGACATTGACTTTCAAAAACACTGATTCAATATCGTGCTGAATTTGTGCTGGAAAACCAAGGACGTATGATATATAAATTATTGAAATTTTCAACCTTCAGCTAAAACCTTTCTCTTCCTACTGTTTTTCGAGAAAAATTGCGAACCAAATGAAAGAAATTCAGTCCCGTCTCGATGAAAACCAATGGAAATCGCCCGCCAGAAAGTCATACTCGCAAGAAAGTAAACGATCACGCTGGCTCCTCCAAAAATAATCTCAAAAAAAAAAATAAATGGCAACTCGCACCAGACTAGCCGGTGCGATCATGCGTTTTGTGCAATTCAGCCCATC